GTGTAACTGTCAATCAAAGCTTATTACAGTCCGCACACTAATTAAATCAATAAACCACCACGTCTTATCCTCAAATTGAGTAACAGCCTTCAGATCTGTGAATAATAATGGTAATAAGAAAGAAAGGAATTCGATTCGGTCTGAAATCAAACGAGTGATTAACAAAAAAAAACAAAACAAAAAGAAAGTTAACTCGGCGAAATGCGCGACAACAGCGCGTCCAAGAGACGCGTCTTGTCTACTTACACAAGCATGACGTATCAACTGTCCCATTACCCTGTCCAATTACAAGCACAACGCGTACACTGTCCTATAAGTGCTCAAATCGGGTTGGTGATAACCAATCACGTTCGAGAATCTTGTTATAGTTTTGATAAATTCCTCAATAATCTACATGTATCTGATGAACTTACCCACTGCGAACACTGGCTGGCCTGTCCTTTGAACCACCAGTTGGAGCATTCAAATTTCTGGAAGGACTACCTGCCTGCAAATGGTCAATAAACATTGATAATAGATTGGACCGAGTGGGGTCCAATTCGGTCTTTAATCATACGAGTGATTAACAAAATCAGACAACCGCTAAGCTAGAGTCCGATTTGTTAATCACGAGTACGATTACAAGCAGGTTTGGACGACAGGAGGTCCTGTTTACAATTAATCATAGCCATTACAATTTCCAAAAGAGAAAAACATTTAGGACAAACATCTCCGGGAGAGACAATAAAGATAAGGGGTTGTTGCTATGGTTATTGTGATCAAATCTGTGATTGGTGGATTTAGCTGAGAGGACCTAGTATAATTGACTGCTTCAAATGTCCGATTACAGGTGTCCAATAACAGCTAACTGTCCGCTTACACTGCCTGATTATAGCAGTACAGACTAATTAGTGGAAAATAAAGCAGCTTCTGCACCAATCTCATTTTCGGAAATAGTAACGGTTATGATTAAACAGCTAGCTAGGGATATCACTGAGGTTACTACACATGACTGACACACAACTTTGACTACACTAACTAGGCACTTACTTCTTCAGGAGATTTTTTAGAGATGAGAAGTCTCCTTGCCACAACTTCCTCATGAGTGAGAGCAAAGCTTGAAAGCACCTATAAAGTAAAAAAAACATAAAATTAGCCACAGCGTTAGACAAACTGCCTGAGAAAGTATTAGCAGCAAATAAATATAGCCTATTTATAAGCATTTCTTTAAGTAAGAGATGACCAGGCTGATCATTGCGGTTTAAAGAAGTTAAAAGCAGCTTATAATTAACATTCACTGGTGCATTTGACGTTAAGAAGTATCTCATCAAGATGTTCTATGCTTCAGTAGTCAATATCACAAAAGATATTTAGATGGAAAGTCTCTGAGATTTTTACATGAATAGTAACCTAAAAATGATGTTGGACAGTGTAATATTGGAAAGTGTGAAGAATAGTATCATCGATGAAAATAGGCTTGAAAAAGAGGGGAAATGGTCTGTGTATTTACTATACAAGGGGGTGGGAGAGGGGGGGGGGGGGGGGGGGGGGGGACATAAGTGGAATTACCCCATCCATATACATGCACCCCACAACCAACACCCTGACTGGTGTGGAGGGCATATTTGATTGTTGACTTTGCTGACAGGCACATGCACCTTGCACAGTAGGCACATGTACACTGGCTTGCTTACAGTTTATCAGCAAGTTTTAATTTCCTCCTTAGGCTAGCATCATCCAGGTATCATGATCTTAATTAGCAAAAGTTCTATTGTAAGCTAGATACAGTCAAGGATGCAAGGGATTTCTCTCTTTACCCACCTCTGCTAGTTTAGAGGCTCCATTGTCACTAATAAGATTGCTTCCAAGATTAAGAGACAGCAGTGTTCTGTTCATTCTTAATCCCTAATAAAGCAAGTAAAATGTTTGATTGGACCATATTGACTTCATTGTAATTGTAATAATTTTGCATGCAGTTGAATTCTTTTCCGGTGAGCTGACTGCTTTTTTTTTTTATCAAAGCATTGGTAACTTGCATATCAAATGCTCCCTTTCAGGTATAACAGCTAAATACTATACTGACTTACAAAGCTGTATTCAAACCAGTTTCCATGGCACAAATCTACTTAAAGAATCCCTACTCCTCCTGGATAGAAAGCTTATTTACCCCAGTTACTCCCCTCCAGCATTTTGCCACAGTTTGGTTTGTATTCCACCTTGGAGAGAGTCATTGAAGCGGGGGGAAGCAGATTTTTTCCCCAAAACATAACAAAATAATTTTGTAAGGGCATGATTACCTGCAAATTAAACTTCTCAGCCCCTAACTTCAGGCACAGATCATAGCTTAACCCAGACACAGTTATCTTTGTTTACCTTTGCTATCCAGGAGGCTCCTTCACAACTTATTTTGTTATAGCATAAGTTCAAGGTTGTCAGTGACTTGTTGGCTGTCAATGCTCTCCCAATCATCTTCGCCCCCATATCATTGACATAACAGTTCCTCAAGGACAAGTTCTGTACTCTAAATTTTTAATAAGATCATAAAATTGATATGTACCCAAAAATCAAATGATTCAGTTGTCAATGGGTAAACTGTCTTGCACTGAACATTTGTACTGGGCACTGAAATTTACAGTTTAAAATATTGGGTAACTGTGAGGAACAACTCCCTGAAAAAACCTGTTGGCCAACAGTCTGCTGACAGTTGGCTTGCTGTGGGCCAAGTATTGGACAAAAGTTTATCAAGGTTTGGCCAACAGTTTCAAGCACACCATTACCAATTCATGTTCAAATAGATGATGTGTATCATTTAGGTGTGTTTACTTTATCTTCTCCACTCTTATTTTCAATGACATGCAAACAACACATGCATGTATGACTATGTAATTAAATTACTAGATAAGTTTACATCTACAGCTGCAGTTTGTTGACCAGTGTAAATAAATCAATAACCCATAAATTACATGATTTTCTGACAGCCTTCACCCTCCCCGTCTTAAAGATTTAAGTATTAAATTGATAATTAAAAGTACTTTTTAATATTTAGCTAACTTAAAGTAATTCTTTGTTGCATAAGTGATCTTTCTATACCCCTACCCACCCCCACCTCCCACTGGCTACTGAATGATCATGTGAAATTTCCTTCCCCTGCTATAATGGCTTCCTACTTGTTAGGCCCATACAGTAATAAACCCCTTTACTCCCTAACATCAGTATGCAAATCCTCCACACTGCTCACTTAATGCCCACAAGGAGATTTTTTATAGCAATCAAGAGCTCCTAATGAGTACTTTTCCGGTAAATGTGATAATTTCCTCTACTCGTGTGACCTTAATGTTTGATCCAGGAGGGGTAATATTGTAAGAAGAAATTAGACACTAGTCACACTTTGGGGTCAAAGGGTTAATTGTTTGTTCATTATACAGCCCGTGTGTGGAAATAATAATTGCCATTCATTCATTTATGTTGTACATCTATCATAATACATCAATCAATTCGAGGCTTCAACATCACCACCCCACTTACCAAGCAACCCAATGGCATTTGATCTTTTAAAGATTGGTTTGTTCAAATTCCCACCCTTCTGGGCCAAAATTGTATTTAAATGCCCAACCCAAGTGCCAGATTTCATGGTCTATCTTTGCAGAAGGCAAAATCAGCACTCATTACTTTCTACTCATACACCAAGATTTAAAACCTTGATCATGACTGAGCATTTCACTCACAGACATGAACTCTTTTCCTTTCAAAACCTCTATATTAAAAGATTAAAACACATGTATTCTGCTAGAAAGACTTGACAATTGGTTCAAGTTTCCCACCCACCCAGGCATCAGGTTCAAATCGGCAAGGTTCAAATTCCCCACCACCAGGGCATAGACTACACTCAAACGCCCATGGGTTGCCCCAAGGGGGAGAGGGATGTTAAGGCTTAAAATTGATTGGCGCATAACCCATGAGGAAAAATATTAACTTAAATAAATTAATTTAATCCTAACTACATCTTCTGTGACTGTAGCCATAAAAATATTATAAGACTAAATACTTGTTAATTACCATGACACAGATTTAACAAACTTACGTGCTTTCTTCACCAAGGAAGATTCCATATCTTTGAAGTGTTACGGGATTGTTGTCCAGACACAATGTTCTATCAGTATGGAAAGAAAAGAGTTTTAGTATTATCTCATACTTGTGACAAATGCCATCTTTTTCTCTTTTTTTCAGGTTTTACCAGTAGAAAACAACTCTTAAAGAAAGGAAAGGACCATATAGTTCCTGTCAAAACCCTTGAGTATACAAATTCCTCACTATCAAATAATTCAAATCATGTCAGGCCTTTGAACTTTAATGACAAAGTTTTGTTTGACACAAACTCAACCCCTCAAGTTAAGAGAACTTAAAATTTGAAGTATAGTAAGGTGAAAAATAAAGTTGAAACTTTGAAGTATGTTTAAAAGTTAAGAAAGGATAAATAATTAATAAAAATGATATATCATGTTGAGTGCAGAAATTGCGAATACCTTCATTACCGTGTCACTTGTAACACACTTGTGACACACTTTGATAAGACATAACTGTTTTATTGACCCTTTAACTACTGAGACAATATCAGGCAGAAAAGTGACAATAAAAAAGAAAATAAATAAATTAAGGTATACCAAATTGTCCAAACTAACATCATAGGATTTTTTATGTCAGACAAATTAAGGAAACTAATGAGATCTTGGCAGTGAAAGGGTAAAAGTACACTTAGTAAGGATATTAATGAATTCAAAGCATGGACATTTGTACCTGAGACTGGGAAGATGGGTGATAATATGAGTAGCTAAAGTGTTCAAACCATTATCCTGAAGGCCAGTGTTCCAGAAACTATAGTCAAGAAAATATTACCCAGTAAAACAATGATGCAGCCATTCACAGAGTTACGATCTATATCTGATGTTAAGTGCACAAGAGTATTTTATAGATCATTTCAATAGGGCAAATTGGCAAAATTTTCTCAATCAGTTCAATTCCTTTAAAAATAAGGTATGAAAAACTAAGCTACTGTATAAAAATTTGTATAGTTATTATTTTCAGCCCTAAAAGGGCATTCACATGTTGTATTACAAGTGAGCACCTATTTAAAAGTACAAATCAAGCATCAATTAAGCAGTGTATATCATTTTCAGGTGGCATGATGTCAGCCACATTAGCATCTAAAACTGTTACAATAAAATGATGGCAATGTTCAACTTGGTGTCTGCACGTTAGGGTTTGAACCCTTTTCTTGTGTAAACAATATCTTTGATTCCATTAATACATAGCTGCTCACAATGTGATTAAAAACATCCTTTTCCATTAGACATAAATTCACAAAGATATACAAGACAATAAGATTTTAGAAAATTGACTCACTCAATTGTGGTCAACTTTTCCAGTGGTGGTAAAGTAACAGTCAAAACATTTAAGATTCTGTCATCTATTTTCCAACCTGTATAAACAAAAACAAAATAGATTGTAATAAAAGAAACAACATGATATAATATATTAAATTGATGATTGCATCTGATCTTTATTTAAATCTTTCACACATAAAGCAAAGTCAAAGGAAGGAATCTGGGTGAAGAATTGGCCTTTAACAGATTTGTATCTTTAAATTAAAAATTTATCCCAAGGAATAGATCACCTCGAATGTAAATCTCCTTGATATGTGACTTATTCCCCTCCTCTTCAGTTTCAACCTCCACTCTAGGTTTGAAGTAATGGTATTTTTCCTTCACATTAAATGTTGTTGGTGGTTCTTCATTTTCATTTCCATCAACTATCCCTGTTTCTTCTGTTTTACTGCTTTCATCTTTCTTTTCTGTTGTAAAAAATAACCATGGTCATATCAATTAAATTACTTCAACAATAACTAATCAAACCTTTGACCCATAAGTGTGCCTAACATCTTATTTCTCCTTACAGTAACACCTCTGAATCACATGTTAAGGTCACACAAATAAACAAAATGATCATCAACTCTTGATTGTAAACTCTTTTCACCCCAATATCAGTATTCACACAGTTTTCTAAGTATACAGTTTCCTACACAATTTTTATGATATTGACAAATAAGCTAAGGAAAATATATTTAAAAATCAAGAGCTTGATCTGTGGGCAATCGTTTCCTGTATTCTCCCATTTAATTCAGCCATAAGGAGAAATTAAAAACTAGTCTCACTCCAAGGGATAAAGTTTAAAACAAATTCTTCACTTCAGCACCTTAGGATATGTGTAGAGAACAGTATGAAGAATGTGCATACTTATGTTAGGGTGTAGAGGGTTAAAACAAACTGGGTTTGACCAATCATCCCTTCCCAACAGACAGTCAAATAGGGTTTACCATCTTTTTTATCCGGTTTTCCTACAGGGGTGTTGTCTTGGGGTATGACATTAGGTGTTGGTGGACGATGAGGCCGTGGCACAACTTGCATTGTTGGAAAACCTGCTCTTGAACATAATTCACAGAAGTCCACCTCAAAGTTCCCTGTTGGAGTGTAAGGCTCTAAAGAAAAAAAAAAAGAGAAATAGACAACTTATAGAGAAAGTATTGTAACAGTCCATTAAGTGTAATTTTTTAGCCTCACTACATTAATTTAGCTCAACCAACAAAAGTGAACAAAATTTGGCCGGTGATGCAGCTAATGTTTATCTTAAGTAAATCTCTCCCTGCATGTGAGCTGTGATGGGTTAATTTAGTGGGTATATTTTGCTATAAGGCCTGTTCAATTCAAAAACTTGTTCAACTTGAAATATTCCCCCTCTATTTACACCAACAGATGTAATAAATATTGTTTTTCCTACTTGGATTTATGGCCTGCAAAATAATTGTACTTTGGCCATGAATTTGAGCAGGAAAAACTTGGTCCATAACTTTCGGTACAGATCTCAAACTTGGTCTTTAGAGGTATTTATAGCCTTGAATATGATTGTAACCTTCTTTCACCTGTACTGATACACTGACAAATGTATTTAAAGAGAAATAAATGGCATTACTGACTGGGTAATCACACAAGTTAAGTGTTGAGCAAAATTGTTGGTTGTTCATATGTAGATTTATATTAGGCTGTTCACTACTGGAGAATTTCACGACTACTACTAAACTGGTAGTACTAACAACTTAAGTGTAAGGCATTGAACTGAAGTTGTTTCACCCTCTATCACAATGCACATAGGGTGATAAAAAATATTTCAAAAGTCAGGTAACGAGACATTGTCTGAATCCTGATCAATAACACAAGGCTGGGTGTTTAGCTCAATTGCATGGCATTACTAAAACTGAGCAACACATGCAGCTGTTTATCAAAGTTCCTATAACAGCACTCTACCTGTAACATGAACTCTTATGGTGCTAGTCCTTGACGATCTCATGTCATGAAAACATCTATTAAGAAAATCCCTCACTCAAATTTAGCTGTGAGAATAAAATGGTCTTTGTTCCTTGATAACCTAGCAAATGAATAGGTACTTCCATTCACCTGGTTGTGACATTTTTTATATTTTTTATAATGCTAGGATAAACAGTACCGGTAACTAATTTGTTTTGCCTGGGAGCCAAAATTAAAACTGACAGTTTCACAGACTTGCCTGTTAGAGTAATGAACAAAGCAGAACTTTTGTACAACATAAGAACTTGACTACTGAGTTTGGAATTGTAAGTATTGGGACATCTTTTAGCCGATCACCAGGTATGATCACTCAGGGAAACAAAAACAGTGCAGTAGTGCCAGCTATAACTTGAAATTCACAACTTTTAATTACTAGCAAGAGTATTATTGTTAAGACCCACATAATTGATTTTCTGTACAACATTCATGGCTAACACAATATAATTTCAATAACTATTAGAATAAATATCAAGCTGTTGGTTTAAGGATCAAATGTTAAGCCATTCAACTAAACCAACAGTAAACAACGTTTTTCACTTATCAGTAATTAATTTTCTTGATTTATATTAGCTGGAAAAAAGATATACTTGAGTAATTGTTTGCATGCAAAGACCAAGATTGTCATGTAAAACTGTATAATTATTTCAATCAACAAGCAAATTTGTATAAAACAAAAATCACCATTTTCTGATGAGATAGAGCATTCTTGGTCAGGAACTTCTGCTATGACCTCCATCAAAAACAGTTGTAAGTTATATTGATATTGCATGCAGATTTCTTCACTGAACTGTTTTCCTCCTTATGAGTAAATCTCTCATTTCTTTGAAACATCATGTTACTCTGTGTCATAAACATGGGTTTGTGCATACAAGTGTAAATTCTTGTTACCGACAAACAAAAAAACAGTCAATAACTGTTAATTCTCATTGGTCAATTTGAAAACCTCATTCACAATAAAATGATTATAAATTCAGGATTAAATACACTCAAAATGTTGTTCTAATGACAAAAAGAATAACAAAGAAAGAATGACTTGCCTAAAAACATTTCAATTACAGTAGCTTTTTCTAGAAAAACACCATAACTTTAAACAGACTCATTTTTGTCATTCTTTATGAAATCACAACAACAGCACAGGCATCAGTGTGCACCATAATTATGATATCTAAATGGAGTCTGCTGACCAATTCTAACTAAACAACAAAAAAGGTTTTTAAATATTTATTATTACCAACACAATAATCAAAGGTGTTACCCATTCAATCTGTCTTCTGACTATTTACAACTTGACAAAAATAGCAAATTTACATAAAACATATTTTCTTTGTGTTAAAGGTTTGGCCAAAGGATTAATTTAGATATTCCAAAACAACTTATATGAAGGGCAAAAAAAAATTGATATCTGCTATTAACTAGGTATTTGAATCCTGTGATAGAATTTCCACAAGAAAAGATTGTTAAAATAGGACTTAAATACTTTTGGTCCATGAGAAATAGTCTCCACTTCTGCATATGGAACCAAGAAAAAGTATTAACTAACTTACTCATCATACTTTATTTACATCAATCCATAAAAGGATAAATGAATAAAGGGGGAAGTTTCTAAAGAAACTGTGGTGCTGCATCGGTGGGAGAGTATAGCAGGTAATTAGTGTTAACAACGTAACTGAGTTGAAAACATAAATTAGCCACTGTAAAGAGTAAAAAGCTGATGTTTCAAGTGTTAGCCCTTCGCCACCACTCTGATGAAGAGCTAACACTCGAAACATCAGCTTTTTTATCCTTTATGGTGGCTAATTTACGTTTTCAACTCATGATCAGTTATTAACACTAAATTACCTGCCATAAAAGGATTTTTTGTAATAAAAATACCAAGAATTCAAGAAATATCAATTGAATTAGATTCTCAAAATATCTGGGAAGGAATTAAAAAAAAAAAAGGGAAGAGAGTTTTATTTTTGTGCCTATGATAATAAAAGTGCATTTTTTTGTGTACCAATAGCAATTATTTAGGAAAGTGCAACAAAATAATGACTGTAGTTTTAAAATATTCCAACCTGAAATTCATTCTAGAATACAATGTTAACAGGAAAACTGTCTCCAGCTACTAAACTGAAGTTTTTTTGTCTTGTTTTGTTCTTGTTTTGCATATTTATATATGTAGTTTTATCTTCAACAACAAGTTATGACTAAATAACGAAGAGCCCATTTTACAGACCAAGATGAGAAATGGAGACAGTTTTCAACTGTTTGATTTCAGACCACAGTTCTGTTTACTTTGTTCCGCAAACATGTTATGTGTAAATATACAGTGTCCCTATGACTGCCTCTTTCCTTCACACTTCTATTTCAAATTTCTGAGCTTAGGTGAAATCATAATTTGTAAAACTACACTGACAGCATATATTAAGTGTTTGATATGAAGTATCTGACAACTTTTTGTTTTTCAGTAAGAAAACAATTCCCTTCAACTTGCATCTTTAATTTAATTCCTGAAACTTAAAACTTGTCATTGAAATTACTTGGACCACCAAATAAATTAAATTTTCGACAAATAAAGTGAAAAATGCGCAGGGAAGTTATCTCTCTAGCCTGGTCTTACGTACACTGTCGACAGAAAATATTGAGGGAATGGAATACACATTGAATCTGCCAAAATCACATATTGTCAACAAACTGAGCCTCATCAATATCCTCAGCAGCATAATACACCTACGTCTCAATTTAATCCTTTGGGTACACTCAACTGAAAAATGCGCCGGGAAGTTATCATTCTTACCTGTTCTTATACTGTAGACAGAAAAATATTGAAGGAAAGGACTATACATTGCATCTGCCAAAATCCACATATTGTCAACAAATTGAGCCTCGTCAATATCCTCAGCAGCATAATACACCTACGTCTCAGTTTAATCCTTTGGGTAAACTTAACTACAAGCATGTTGCATGCAGAGATGTCAAATATCGACTAACTTATAGGATACTGTCAGAAACATTCGATTCGCGTGATATACATATTTCTACACGCGCGAAATGTACACTCATTGTCGAAATGCATAATTACCTCCATACCACATAAACGTGCTCAAGTAATCTTCCTCTTCTTCTTCAATTTCAATGGCAATCGAAAGCCGACCACCACCGCTTCGGTCAGCCTTCTTCAGCGCGCGCTTCATTCGTGTAACGGAGCGTAACGTAGCAAACATTGTGATCTCACACAAGAAATTCAACAGCTATCAAACTGCACTCCACAGCAGAATACGTGTCCTTAGCTACCGAAATCTTCAACGATTTACCATGTAAAACAAAAAGACCTTTCTTCCTTTCGAGGAGTTAGTCAACAAAGTTGACACGTAACAAGAAATGAAGTCAATAAGATGATTAGCGCCTTTCAACAATCGAAGAAAATCAATAACGAAAAAGTCAATTGTCTTTTAAAACAGAAAATGAAACGTACCATTTTCAATAAAGAAAGTGTCAAAGATGTCATTCACATGTGTTAAAATTGTTTTTAATGTCGAACGTCTCGTTAAAAGACAGCGAAATACGGAATATGATCAAACGGAAAAATTCTAAGTAGACATTGCCTTTTATGACATTCATAAGACGTTCGGGTAAAGATACCTTGATGGTACCAAAAATGCAGTTACGGAAGCATAACAGCGAAGGAAATATATGCTATTTCCTCAACGATATTTCGGCTGACCTTTTATACAGATTTCTAAGTGCTGGGAATAATTTACCGGCGTCCTCAAAGACTGTTCTGTTAACCAAAAAAACAAGAAGACAGTCTGCAAGCACAACATTACAAACTTTTAAAAACTTATGAAAACTTTTGGTTAACAGTTCGAATGACAGTAAGCAATAGTAAGCCTCGATTTATGTCTGCGTTATGTGCGAAAGAAAACCTATCTCCTGACCAAACTGGAGCAGGATCACAGATCAGAATACTTACCAAGTTCGACGGGTTGTTCTTCATTTTCCACCGGCGTTTTATCTCCTGCTCCTTTATCGCCAGAAGTACTTCCTTTATCAGGTTTTTCTATTTTATCAGCCTTCTCTGACGCTGTTTTCTTTGCCATATTTCGCCGTTCAACAGCCATCCGCCATTTTGGTTTTTCTCTACTACGTCGCTATGGTAACGTTTATTCGCCAAACAAGAAATGTCAGCGGCATCGTCAACGCTAAACCTACATTGGTGTCCCGTGAGTGAAAAATCCCAGCTGGATAGTATTCTCACTTTAAAAATAGGTTTAAAAGCAACATTGTGGAAAAGTAGCGGGGAAAGAGGCCTGAATTTCTCAAGAATCGTACCCTCATCTTTATCTCCAGCTCGCTTAAGGGTTAACATCTTAAGAATGACTCGCTCGCGCAATATGGCCGTTAGAATCTTACATGTTGAATATTTGTTCTTAATTGAAAACGGATTTATATCGCATTTTCTTTTACGAGCCGACAGGAAGCCGCAAACATTTAAGCTTTAACTGGTGTCATCATCGTGATCACATCTTTCAAAAAATTAGTCAGTTCAGGCCCGTGTCTGTATAAATACCCGCCCCATCTATTTAGAAGGTTACCATTATAATTAGAACAAAACAGTTTTTTGGCGACTCTCTAACAAGGGCAAATTTTTCATAATCTCCTCGATAAATTTTCAAATTTTTATATGAAAGTCAAAAGCATCCACATGCATCAAACCTTGAAACATAATCATCTCCTTTTTCGGAAATTATTCAAAAAGTACGCCAAATGTCAGAAAACTGCTTGGAAAATAAAAGTTAATTTTCCTTTAAGATTACTTGATATGTCTATCCTATCTTTCCTAATTTGTAATGTGAGTTTTCACCGAGGGTTTTTGATAAATTTAAAAGTTCGTCATATTCATGAAAGCATAACGATCTCTTTATCAATAGATGACCTGCCAAGAAGCTGGTACTAATGAAAGGCATCACCTAAACAAGTCCATAGACTTGATTATCTCGACCAATCACATTATGGCGTTGAAGACAATGCAATGATAGACGAATGGGACGATGAAAGGAAAATGTCGGAGTTTTCCTAATCCAGGAACAAAAAGCTCTATCGAGAAAAACATTAGTCTGGTATTTCTTCAGAAAGTCAGCGATAAGACTGATCTGATCTAATCGATTTCCCGTGAGTAAAAAATAAGTTGCGTCATTTTTTAACCAGACTAAAATTGGCCTTTCAATAGGAGTTTTGATTGATCTTTCAATCTGTGATTTTGTTAAAAAGACTCAGGAGGAGAAAGAATAATACTGATATACGATTAGGACTTGTGCTATTGGTCGATTATTACTATAACTCGAAGTTACACTGAGCTAGCTTTGCTCAGCAAGGAGAGATTACAACATGGTTTCTACTTGGTCCACCGACATAAGATGGTCTAAGCTTCGTCAGTTTGAGTACGGAGAACCAAACAACCATCTTGGAGAACTTAAAAAATCTTTAAGCACCGCTAGCGACGAAAGCGACGACGAATGGTTGGCTCAGCTCGAGAGAGACTACGCCACAGCGAAGCGAAAACATCGAGCTTATTGGACTTCTTTGGAGAGAGCATTGGCACTTGCGGTCATTATCTTTATTATTATTACCATTTCTTTAGCATTTGTACTAATATTTAAACAGTATAATGTGGCCGTGGTATTCGGTGGCAGTGGATACAGAACGGAAATCTGTGAAACACCAGGGTGTGTAGCTGCGACATACAGTATTTTAAATCATCTTGACAAGAATGTTGATCCGTGTGACGACTTTTACAACTTTGCTTGCGGAAACTGGTTCAAGAGCAGTTTTATTCCGGTCGGACACTCAAAATGGACAGCTTTTCACCGGGTTTCGGACAACAATTTGATAATACTGAAGAAACTTCTTGAGAACAAACAACTCAGCTTAAATGGAAGTTCTACGGTTTTGACGAAAGTGCAAGATTATTTTGCAGCTTGCATGAATAAATCTGTGCTTGAAAAGAGAGGCGCAGACCCTGTCAAGAAACTTATTCACTTTGTAGGTTCCTGGACGATAACCAACGCCTCAGAGGTTGGACCCTGGTCACCAGAGTCGTGGAATTTCGAACAAGCCCTAAGTAGAATTCACAGATTGAAGAGTATGCCTTTGTTTTATATGTTTGTATCGGCTGATGACCGGAATTCGAGCCAAAACATCGTACAGGTATGAAATAGTGAACGTTTATACTTCTATAGACAAGATTTTCCATTAATGACTTCGCGTCTTCATGTCTTTCATGCTGTGGTCTCGGCTAATAATTAAGTTATTTCACGTAGGATAGTTATTGATGAAAACCGAATTGCTCTACGAAAATCAATCCTTTTGGACTCGACTGACCCAAAATGGATTCTCGCGACTGCGGTGCTAATGTGCAGATCTCACGGTTTTACCTGCTGTTGCCTCACATCTGATAAGATTGCAGTGAAAATAAAGTTTAACGAGGACAACTTATTTGGCTTAGTGAAACACAGAATACACATTCTGTCGCAGGAATTATGTTGGGGTGGAGAAGTCAACTTTTAACTCAAACTTTTTCTACGCCTCCTTAGGTTCAGCAAGCTGGCATAACACTATCAGACAGAGATTACTACTTCAGGAATGAATCAGATAAGGTAAATGTAACTTACTTTTTTGATATAGGAAACGGATTGTTTACTACAAGGAAATTAATGTATCTGAGCAAACGTTTAGCAGTCGAATATATTGTAAACTTATTACTACGAACCAATAGCAGCGTACCAACGTGCTACAAATACCGACACGTACTCAATTTGACCTCATCGCCTGATGAAGACAAGCAGTATTGCAGTCGAAACGTCGCAATCAACATCAAAAAGTGACTCTATCGTGAGACAAACGAACAAAGTTCATTTCCTATCTTACACCACGATGAAAAATAAACGCATATTTTATTACAATATCATTTTCGTTATCCTGTACAGTTAATACCTAGTACAGAACTCTGTTGTCCGAGCCGTCAACATGAGTCTCGACTTCGATTTCATGTTCGGAACAAAACCTATGAAACATGCAGCGAACAGTAGAGAGATTAATTATGTTGATGAAACCGCTTTTCACATGAGAAAAGAAATAGTTTTTCACTTTGAGATTCCACTAGGTGGACGTGTGTGAAAACAGACTCCTTTCGCGAGCTGAAACTAGAAATAACCTTAATGGAATCGACATGCGTAAGCTAAATATTTGATCGTCTTTCTCATTACCCCACTTTTCTGTTGATGCTAACAATGCTAATTATTATTAACTCTTTTCACCCCAACATTAATGTTCGTTGATTTCTCTACATTTCCTGTGATAATGACCAGGGAATTTGTTTAAAAATCAGGAGTTTCTTAAATTGGTGATAGTTTCTTTTATTCTCATGATCCTTAAATTTGATTTTTTGATAACTTAAAGAAGAAATCTGAAGTCAGTCACTCTTAGGGTTTAGAGGGCTAACGAAATTGAATGAACTTGGTGTCAGTACGCTTTTTAGCCTATAAGTATGGGTAATAACATGAATTCGAGTGCAATTTGGTGTTAATAAGCACACGTAAATTTTTCAAAGACAAAAAAAATTGCAGGCTAAGCCCATAGGGCAAGAGCAATTTGTAGTCTTTGAAAAGTTTTACAAGTGCTTATCTCACCAAATTGCAAGAGACATCATATTATCACTTAATTGTTAATAATGTACGTGAAAAAACATCACAGAAAGTCTAGACAGACAGAATTTTGAAAGCGTGCGCGCGCGCTATTTGTAATTTGCACTTGTGTTATAACTTTGCACTCGTGTTCCATGAGAATGCACTCATTTTTCAGCCAGTCAGAAGCGCGTAATTTTTTCATGAACATTATTAGAGAAGTAGTTGCCTGTTTCCACCTGGTGATTATGTAGGTTGTGCAGGCGTACAAAGAGTTCATGGTTGAGGTGGGTTCACTCTTGGGAGGTGAAATTAATAGCACACGGCATCAGATGGAGGAGGTGTTTCAGCTTGAAAAGAAACTGGCCGAAATTTACGAACCAAAAGATCGACTGAGAAACATGGAGCAAATTTACCACAAAATGACGGTAGCTGAACTTCAGCAGCTTGCACCCGCGGTAAGAAAACAAGTTCAGATCCTCCGACTGCAAAATAGTGAACCTTTTTATTCCCGTGAATGATTAAAGTTTAAGTAATCGTTGCTTAATCCATGTAATATCTAGCAGACTTTATGACAATCAGTTCAGCGAGTGGGCATTATATGTGACCAAGAGATCAGTTTATAATCTCATTGAGTAATAACAAACCCTTAGTGATTAAATATCAGCTGGATGGGAGAATTTCTTATAAGATGTTGGCCTGGAATTAAAGGATTAAAATAACGTTAGGGAGATAAATGAAAGCAAAGAATAGTACTTGGATGAGGTGGGAGGGTATGAATGCACGGTATAGGGATTGGTTTAGTTCCTTTTTCTGCTTCCTTCTTGTCTAAAACTTTGAATTTGAATTTGATGATCAGCAACGCGGTTATAGGGAAAATGGGAAGCAAAGAAAGGAGATTTACACGTCTTGTCAATTTCAATCCCGTTAGTGGTCATATGGCTCAGTTGCTAAATCTGATTTAAGAGTTCCTGATGGGCTCTTACAACCCCACCTGTGATTCCGTCGTTAGCGAAGTTACTGCCGGCGCGGATCGCGATTTTTAAACAGTATACAGCTTATCTTTATCGAAACAAGAGATAAAATGGATAGTTAAAAAAATTTAAAAAAAACTACGCTTGTTTGAGATGAATCAGTGATAAGTTATTTTTTTCCATGATCTTCAGATTTCTTGGTTGGATTACATGAATGCGATGTTTAGCAGCCCGGTCACGCATCAGGAGCATGTGGTGGTTTATACTCCAGAATACTTGAAAAATATGTCGAATCTTGTCATCAGAACAGATCGAAGGTAATGATGGTAAATACCAGAACAAAAATTGCATCTAGTCTATGTCAACCAAAGCGGGGAAAGGGCTTGCCGAGAAAGCTACTCTACACTCTATTGTTGATCTGGTCACACGAAATTATATATAAATCTCCCATGTGCGTTAAATTCACAGGATCTTAGCAAATTACATGGTTTGGCATCTCATC